ATTAATTCATTAGATATGTTGTTTGGATTTTTTAGACAAAATTTCAAATCTCTTAAATTATAATATTCGTAATATTATCTATATGATCCTGTCCATCTTCGGTCTGGTAATGCTTAAATAATGGCCATAAGATATTTCGAAATAATTTCAATATTTAATTATTTATCTATTTCATTATATTAGACATAAAATCTCTTGAATTAGTAATATACGATCTTTTCTAAATTCATGACGACTTTTATAATATATATTAATAATTATATATATTCATCATAAGCCTAATTCTGAATTAGATATCAATAAAATAATAAAGATGGGGAATTAATTTTTGATTCTTAATAATATCAATCTTAAATCTATCTTTGCCAATCGCCCAGATAACAGCCCTAAGACCATCCATAATATCTTTAGTTCCAATCCCAATCTAAAATTAATATTTTTTTTCTTCAAAATATCAAGAAGAAATCATATTTACAGACATAATTGCTCTAATAATCTAGATCTTGGTCTATATCAAATTCATAATATTAATTCTATATTTCATGCCAAGATTCATTCTAAAAATACCCTAATTATTATTTATTCTATAAATCAAATATTAAATAGAACCGAATCCCAATAATAATATCTCTCGGAAAAAATTTCCGGAATCAAACATCTAAAAAATATCTTAACTAAGAAAAAATTAATCTTAGAATAAGATTCAATTTTACCTCGAAAGAAAATAATTTTAAATAGATAAACCAAATATTTCTTTTTTTCATTCAATATTTTCCTAAAGAACATCAAAAATTATATTTTGTCAAAAAAATATATATCTCGCCAGAAACCAAATTTTCTTATCTAAAATATTAATGCTTTATCGAAAATAATTTTTTGGCTAAAGCAACGCAAAAATATTAATTAGAGAATTTAATCTTATAATTATTCAATTCCAATGCCTTAAATTTATTTGCTATAATAAAAGAAAAGAATTTTCGATAAATAAATTATTATCGTGAAAGAAATGCGAAATTTCCGATTAAATAATTGGTTCCAATTTATAATTTATAAATTCATTATCTAAAAATAAAATTTCGACTATATCAATCGCCAAGAAATTTCATATTCGTAAAGATGCTCCTATATACCCATCCTACGATATTCCTTTCATATCTTATCTACCATTCCCTTTTCCCACGATTTCCCGCGTGTCGCGACAGTCCTCGCCCATCAAGCCGTCAGCCTCCCCCACAATACTCCCCACTCACAAACCCTCACCCGCCACTCCGCGATAATTCCCTCGATCTTCGCTCGCGACTCCACGCCATTCTACAACACGCCCCCGCCCGCCACTCCACCCTCGCCCAAACTCCCCGACACGCCGTCGCTCGCCACTCCGCAACACTTCCCTGTGCCCATAACACACACGCCCTCGTCCGCAACTTGCGTTTCCACGTTCCGGTCTATACGTACATATCCAGTCGGCCCATACGATTGTGTGATAGACACGATACATCCTTTTACCACACTATACGCAGTATTCGTGCCATCTATAAACTATCCAACCATGCTCCACGGTATGTTAAATGTCGATACTATCAAGTGCTTTATCGAACGTAAAATGAAGACTAAAAGAAAAATATAAAGTAACCGAACAGACCGTAGTGCGAAAGTCTATATCTTTAATAAGTCAGAAGAAAAAATATTCCCGGCATTTCCGGAATTTCATACTATACAACGTATCTAGTATAGAACCTTCAAAACCGCAGAATTTAAGGTTTCGTAGTATAGAGTAGCCTTGAGTTTAAGGGCAGACAACCGCAAGCTTATCGACGATCTCAATGGTCCCACGATGTAATGTGCAATTTAATATTTCAACTCCTTTGTTCTATTTTAGAATAATCTAAAATAGAATCTTGACTTCCGAAGCTCCGACTAAAGAAATACCATACCAAGAAATCGTATCTTCAACAATCGATTCTCACCCATATATTTAACAACTAGTGTAGGTCCTACGGTACATGAAAGTATATACGTTTCATGCCTCGATTACGAGAATATCTAACTAAATAAATAATTTCAATGACAAAAAGAAAAGCATATAAAACCAGATCTTATATATGAGATTGTGAGCATAATACCTCTTTCTTGAAATAATGGTAGTCTTATTGAACTTATCCGTCAAAAGGTACAGATTCAATAGAAAAAATCGATTCCTTAATAAGAAAGTCTGACATTGGCCCCAATAAGGATTTAAAAATCGTCGACGTGGGTTATACAGCACCTTTCTTAACGAAAACGAAATCATAGGGAATAGCTAGGAAGGGTTTCAATAACAACAACACCTAGATGTTCGTGATATCTTTATCTGAAGCTCACTCGCCCTGAAGCCGGTCATTTTGAAGCATTTTTGTGATTACGAAAAAGCATCCCCAGAACCACCAGCACCGTCGCATGGTTGCAAGCTGAGATTCCCAATGGCCCTTTAACAATGGGTTTAGGGTTTAGGGTTCCCATGATTTGGGGGCATTTCCTTTCCATTCCGCCCCGAGCGTACTCACACGACCACGACAGACTCCTGGGAACCATCCAGCCTCAGTCCGCCGCAATCCCCGAACCTAAGTTGCACCCCTGGTAAGAAAGACCATGACCAGGAAAAAGCTTTGATGTGTAAAGATCATAATTTTATGAAAAATTCGTTTGTTACCTACGGAGGAGAAGGAAATGTTGTAATGACGTGTCTATGGGGAAGGGGAGCAACATACTGAGTTGCTCAGGCTTCTATCTGCCACCTTGTTCCCTACCCTCCGATACAACACCTAAATATATACAATCCTCTACATACCAGTAGCAAACAGCCTCTAATCAGTCTGCAACAACTCCTTCCAAACACACTCGGCCTGGTTCTCCGATGTGATCGATGAGCCCTTTTTTCCAAATAGAGGATATCACAACACCAAAACGGCAACAATCCTAAACCCTAAGCCCCAAATCAAAACTCCAAAACCCAAAATCCCAAACTCTGGGCCACCAACAACTAAATGCTACCCCCCTTCCTGCGACAAAAACCCAAATCCCAAAACCCTACACCCCCTTCCTCCAAAAAGGCCCCAGAAAGCTTCGATGGCCTAGTAGCACAAGCTTCCTTTAAGGATTCCTTTAAACTAGATCCCTCAAGGGGACACCCAAAAGATAGGGGATAGGATTAGGGGGACTCTTTGGGGATACGGACCCTCTCAATTAAGGTCCCTCCGTCATGGCACCGGAAAAGGCTTGAGAAGGGGTCCCCTTTGAAGGGCCTCTGCCTCATCCCACGAAAAGAAAAAAGGCCTTAGGGGGTTCCGAAAATTTCCTGCAGCAGCTTGCAGACTTCTCTGAGGCCAAGGCCATGGTGGACCTTCCAGCGGCACCTCGGCTTTAAGGCTTCCCCTTCAGGGATCTATAAGGCTTCAATTGGATAGAGAGGCTTAGTTAATTGAATTAAATTTTTGATTTGGCTGCAGGTAGGTAACACGTACCCGGATAGTATACGAAAAAGTATGATTGTTGGCCGTCCAATCTGCTGCTTTTGCAATCTACAGCAACCCTAGACCCTAAACTATAAGTAAAATTTCCTGCGAAAGAGCCTTCAACGGGACGCTAAGAGCGGGACAGTGCGGTATGCTGCGGAGAGCCAAGGGAAGTGATTTCCGATGACCTGGAAGTAGGCCTGCAGCGCCGACGTACCAAGTTGCTCGGAGTTTTGGGTTTAGAGCTTTTTTGTGCCGACTGGAGCATAATGTGAAACTCAAACCAGACGGCCTGAGATTCTGATATCTCCGACGTAGATGCGCTGTACACTGTACAAAAAGTCTCCGACAGCTGTCACTTCCGCGGGCGCTTTACGAAGACGATACGCCAGCTGATGGCTCCTTCTCTCAGAATGCTCCCTCAGAAGCACCCTAAATCCTAGACTCGAAGCCCTGAGCCCCTAAAGAAAAATCAAATTGAGGTCCCATGTTTGGCTTGAACCCCAAAACCCTCAACCCTACAGCCCTACAGCCCCATAGCTTTATAAACCAAGAAAAAACACGAAACCCTAAACCCTGAAAGCAACCCAAACCCTAATAATTCCCAACACTATTCTGGGGCTCCTTGCATGCATTCACAGTAAAACATACCCCAGAACCTTGTTCTCCTTATTAAGGCAGCTGTATTCAACCCTGTACAAGGAACCCAAAGTCTCCTGATTCCAAGGCTTCGTTGAAGATCGGTAGGCCCTTGCCGCCCTTGTCTCCCAGCCCANNCCATCTTCGATCTTCCACTGCCTTAGCTTGGGGGTGTAGGGGCTTATACTTTAAATTGTTAGCGGTTACCAAACCCAAATCCTAAACCCTTACTGGCTACTGCAAGAAAAAGACCGAACGCAGGGCGAGGGCACCCAGGGTTTAGGAGTCCAGGGTTTTAGGGTACCCCAACAGGGGCACAACGCATTTTGGGCTTTGGGGCAAGCGCGAGCCTTCTGGGATTGGGGGGGGGGGGGGGGTGATGTTTGGCAATTTGGGCTACGGAGCGCACGGGGTTGGGTGACAAACTCAAAAAGTTCTTAGGGATAGGTACATGGCACCATCGTGGGGAAAGAATTTTTCAGCTGAAGTGTGCAAGGCGCCAAGTTCCATAAACCCTAAAACCCTGAATCCCTAAACCTTCACCAAGTTCCTGAAAGCCGGCGAACTCTCGAGTTATACATCCCCGAAACAGACCCTTGGTTGTCCAGTACCCTAGGGGAACTAAAGGTTTTATCTTTGGGACTATATATGTATATATGGTGGTTTAAGGTTTAGGGTTTAGGGTTTGGGACATATAGGGTTTGCAGTACCCCACAAAGGTTAAGGCGACCTACTCTATTACTAGGAACCGTTCCAAAACATTTATTGGAACATTTATTGGAACCTTTATAGGACCCCTTATGCTACCCCCAAAAAGTTAAGGGTTACTCACTCTGCGATTAAGGACCCTTCTAGAGCCCTCAAAGAAGGTCAGAGCGACATGGCGAAGAGCTGGTCCACCAACGCACGCGGGCAGAGGAACTCCACGATCGTCGACACTGGAGGAGTTACCTTCTTTTTGCCGCAGAAGTACCTTAACCGGCTTTAACTTTGCAATTGAAGAACTTTCAACAACCTGCCTTTTTGGATTCTAGAGACTTGAAGAAACCAAATTAAATACGGAAGCCGAAAAAATGTTGAAACGGTCCAGGAACTTCTTGCAGTATTGGAAGCCCTCGTCACCTTCCACAATCGTCTGGTAGGGTTGGGTGTCGGGCAGTATACCATGCTCCCGCAAGAAGGAGCACTCCTTGTCTGTCATGTGCCGAAAGATGCTCACCAGCTCTTCCCTCTCAGTTTCCTGTGTTAAGGAACTCATGTTGACTTGCCAAAGCACATCGTCGAATATGTGTATATTATATGTATATGCACGTATGCATGTATGCATGTATGCATGTATGCACGTATGCATGTATGCATGTATGCATGTATGCATGTGAGTGTATGTATGTATGTATGTATGTATGTATGTATGTATGTGTGTGTGTATGTATGTATGTATGTATGTATGTATGTATAAATAAATAAATATACATATATATATACACACACATATTAGTATGTGTATATAGCCAAATAGTGTGCGTGTATAAATAAATGAACAAATAAATAATAAATAAACAAATAAATGCTACCCCCACCCATGCCCTACCATTTGTGTGGTGTTTCTGTATTCTACTACGAAGAATACATGCTTACAGATATGAGCTGAAGACAAAACTTCCTGCGAAACCCCTTCGAAGATGGCTGGTAAGATAGAGCCATGTTGCTTCGTGATCCAAGAGTCGCCATGGCCCGCAGTTCCACCCTCTGTCTATTCACTCTCTTCGATGTGTGATACCATATCAGACAGCACGAGGTGACCAACTAAACGCAAGCAAACAGTTGAGCCCAACAGGCTTGCACATAAGCTGCTGCAATGCACTCATGCCTGATACTCATGATGCGCGCAGAGAGTACCTGCACACGATCACCGTTTTGACCCGAGTGCCGGTTAATCGAGCCAGTATGAGTACAGTATGAGAAGATATCTTCTGCGGTCAGCTCCATATCACCCTTCGGTGTGGACTTGTAGAAGAGATCATGGAATCGATAAATTAAACCACATCACCTGATGTATGAGAGCACTTTTTTTCGGTAAGTGCTGTTGTGTGCGACACACATGTGGCTTGACGGGCGACCGTTCGGGAAGGTACCAACCGCAGGTTGGGATCGGCCCCCACAATCGCTCGCCAAACTCGAAAATGCGTGCTGCCACATCCATGGGCAGTTTGCGAACGAAGGGCGCCGACATTGCTTTGGAGAACTTGTCTTGACAACTGTCTTGTGCCGGAAAACTGCAAAAAGATGAAATGAGATTTGTGTTTGAAGATCTGTGTTTGAATGGAAAGACATGTATACGCAGAGCGGCAACATAAGCATGCGTGCGAACACTATATGAATAATCCTGTTATAGTAGACGCACAACGGATAATCGATAGTCATAGCATAGAAGAATTCCCCACATCATCGCCATCATCATCATCATCAGTATCATTATCATGCTTAATATTCGTCTTGTTCATGATATAGAACAGATACAAAACAATAAAAAATGACAAACACGCACGTGACAATAAACTTTCCAACAAAACTGACGGCACTATCAAACGCGAACGTTTTCAAGCGATGTCGCAACGCGGGTCTGTGTGTACAAGTAAAACTTGTGCAGGTTCTCTGTGCACAAGTCACCGCAGGCGAACCAGAGGTTTGGTTCTTAAACCAATACTCGTACTGCGCCGAGCAGAGTTTGCCACGCAGCAACGACGATCCTGCTTTGCAGTGCTGGTTCATTGCGATGCGATCCTTAAGAAAGCGCGAAACCCTATCAATGATTTGAGCTCCAGATTTCACTTTCAGTTTCTTCTGAGTGCCAGGGATCTTGTGGGGTAACGATACCGACATATTTGGGGTTCAACCACCTGAACTTGCCATTCACCTTCACCCGCTTCTTGCAGTGTACCACTTTGTCGTGCAAAACCCCGAACTTTCGCTTTGTAACTTTTCGCTGAATCGGTATGAAGGATGACCTTGCGATCCAAGAGAAATTCGTTCGCGATGGTGTTCCACTCTGTTTTCCGGATAGCACCTGGCCCTGGTGCCCTTTTGACCGTAAGCTTGGGGATCAACTTCCGCAGGACCAAAGTACGAGGACGGCCACGCTGCGTGACACCCCCCCCACTGCTCCCACATGATGGTTTCGTTCTTTTTGACGACCAAGTGTTAAAAAGCAGGATCCTGGGAGATGTCCCTCTTGTCGAAAGTCGCCTCGTCTCAACGTCCACCCACGTTTTTTGGTTGCCAAAAACGATGTTCCTCTCCTCCTTTCCAACGAAGTCTTTCCGAAGTTTGCAAGTCTTTTGCCTTAAGTGGGCAAGGCAGTTTATGATGAGACTAGCGATGAACATGGTTGTTAGATTCTTATGTTATGGGAAAACATTTCCGTTTTAATGTTAAAAGCCTTAAACATAAAGGTAACAAAATAACAAATAAAAGGCATGAGTACTATAGGCAACCAGTTTCCAAGTCCTCCAACGCCTTGTGTTTCGTACCCATGGCGAGGCGAATGACGGATTGTGGGACATTGAGGAGCTTCAAGAGAAGAACGGCGGACTGCATCCGCAAGCTCTGCTTCTGCGGTCTTTGCCCCTCCGTGAAAAGCGGATGCAAGTGATGAGGATTGATGCGGGCCTGACAATGCTTGTTGTTGCACCTGTGCTTCAGGACGTTTTTCCGCTTCTTGTCTGCATACAGTTTGGAGAGTACTCCCTCGGAACATCTAGGACATGTTTTTCCTTCCAATCGTGGTAGGATCTTGTCCGCAATGAGCAGCCTGATAGTAGTGTTGTCATCTGCCTTGGGTGGCTCAGGTAGGGTTCGCTTCCATTTGATTTGATCTTTACGTTGTCCGCGTGATGTGACTTCGGTCGCCTCCCTGACATACTTGATGGATTTCCATGTAGTGTGTTTGGATGCCGCGGGTTTCTTCATCACCTTGCGCATCTTGCCCTTCTTCGGAACAAAGTTGCCATTGGGTTTGCCCATGGTGGCAAAGCTTCGGGTAATGACGACGCGAACTACAAGCTTGACAACGAGCCACAAACCTTCGCTCAGGGAATGCATGTTAACATGTGCAATGACAGCATGTTTCTCGCAAGCAGACATGGGGAACCGTTCGGACAAGCTTGGTTTTCGCTACAGACGCACTACGACGGACAGTTGCCATCACTCAGCTGTGCTTGCCAACGAAACACTGCCGCATAGAAACTGGTTTCGAATCTATCTGAAATTTTAAAGGAGTGTACTGTTCATGACAGCGGTTGCGGCATGGATGTCGATGTCGAAGTTGTTTCCAAGCGTTCCTTGGCACGACGATGGTCTTGCTCAACGGTAGAGTCAGCAGACTCGGAAGGAGCACTTTGGAAAAGACCCCCGCGACGGATGATTGTGGCACGTCCTGGTAAATTCACTTCACTTCCCATAGCTTTCGCAACCCAGTCCCTTTCCCAGTTCACCTTCGTCTCGACGTCCTGTGGCACGCCCTTCCCGCTCTGCGATGGTAGTCGTATACCTTGCGTGAGTCCACGGGGAGGAAGTCAATCTTGTCACGGAGCACAGGGCCTTCTGTTTCACTGGCAGGTCGGATGCGGAGACATTTGGCAGTGTTGACAAAGATATGCGTGCGCTTCAGAACAGCCAAAATGTTGGCATCGCTGCAGTCCTTGGAGCACCACGCACTCTCCAGCATCTTCATGAAGTCGGAGTGCGACACATAGGTGGGGATGCCCTTTTCGATGTCCAGAAGAGGTTGGTTCAGGGGTGGCTTTGTTGGCGAAATCGTTTGAGCAGTAAATCCGCGCTTGCCCGCGAACCCACTTCGCAGCACCCCATCGTTCCTTGGACATGGACTCGATATTGCCCACATCCGTGAAGGCTTTAACCTCCTTAAACGGTTGCTCACAGAGACAACCATCATCGAAGATTGACCTTAGAGTGCGCAGTACACACGTACATATAGACAAATATACAACCCATAACCAAGATAACTAAAATCAAAAGCGTTGTGCTATCAGGAAACCGCGGAAGAAGTCCAACTCGGAAGCCTGCCGAAAGGACGGGCGGTTTCACCCGCCTTACCCAATTTGGTAATCCAGTAGCGAGAGAGTGCCATGGCAACAGTTCGTGCGACTGGCGTCTTGCCCGCTCCTGGTGTACCATGCAATCCAAGTGCCTTTTCCGTCAAGGATGAAGTCGTAAAGGGTCAAGGGCCATACTTCATGCACTCGCGCAAGTACTCCATCTTGACCTATAGGTCGCGGAGACTCTTCTCCATCAGTGCTTGAGGCCATCGGTAAATGGGGGAGTCCCGGCCGTTGACCCAGGGAAGAAGTTGATTGCGGACATTTTCACGAGGACCCTTCTCCTCGATGAAGTCAAGCCCAAAATCCCACTCTTCCAGACTTCTCTCCTGTTCCGGCTTGCCCTCCTCTTCCGTCCGAAGCACATGATGACGGCATTGAAACCACCCATTTGCTCAAACAAGTAATGCAAGCACTTTTTAACCATGATCACGTTGCCTGACCAGTCCACAGCGTAAGGTTTGCCATAGCACAGGTCGCGAATAAAATCCGGTGTGTTCTCTTTATCCTTGAGGTTGACGATCTTGACAACTGTGAACTTGCCACTCTCCTGGGGAAGTACGGCCAAGTCAATGCAATGCGAAAGGGGGCGTCCACGTCTTTGGCTCGACCATAGGGTTTTGGCAAACTCTTGAAGCATTGATCTTGCATCAGCTGCTTGATTTTCGTAATAGGAAAACTAGGCACGTCCACGATCACATCAATGAAGCACTTCATGAACCCGCCACTCGATAAGTCTAGAATTGGCAAGTCGGTGGTACCCAAAGGGCCAGGTGTGGACTTCACGATGTGGTGCATGTCGATATTGTAGAGCTTCAATTTGGCCACAGCTTGGCGAACATCAGCCATGGAGACATTGCCGGATTCCAAGGACATGATGACGGGGATGGATGACGCGAAAGAAGGAGTGATGGTTGGCACTTGAGGCTTCGAGGACTGCGACATAACACATTCTGTATATTCTACATAGCGCATGCAGCACAGAAGACTTGCAGGCGTGCTGGTCTGTACTTGCTGGACAGCAAATGAATAGCAACAGTATCAGTAGAAACAATAAAAAGAGTAACATTTCGGATCACAGCATCATTGCTAGCATCAGTAGAAACAATAGCCATAAGTATCATTTCGAATCGCATCATCA